ACAAGTTTCTTATAATTACATCACAACCAAAAGGGATAAGTCATTCCATCAACAACAACTATAACACCAATGACAACTAGTCACAAGTGTGTGGGAGTGCCAAAAGAGGTAATCACTGGGTTAGCCCATGCTCCAATAGATGGGAACCTCGACGAGAGACGCAAAAGGTGGTTTGATCAAAACGGAGGCAAGATTGTCAGCTACGTTCCCTCCTGAACTGGATTACCTACATATACATATATACAAAACATGAGCTAAAGCCCAGTGAATAACAACTGAGTAAAAAGATTCTGAATGACGAACATGATGTAAAATAAAGTATATACTGAACATGTTCGTATCACAAGTGAGAGGCATGATATGACACGTAGTATATCCAAAAGTAATAAATACAGGCGGCCTAGACAGCAACATGCGGTCAAAAAGACTGAACATGAGGTTATGAAGATCGAATAGGCTGCCATGAAGATCAAATAGACGGCCATGAAGACCAGAGATCAGATATGATAGTCAACACCATATTAAACAGGAGTTCCATGAAATGAAACTGACAGAACTGTGATCATATGAATAGGTGCCAGGGTCGTCACAGTAAACAATGAAAACTGAGATAGAATTATCATTCATTAACATAAGAAACATATCGGAGTAATGTATAAATTCGAAGCAGAGAAAAGATAATTTAAAATAAACATATTTTTACAGTAGTGTTACTCACAGTGGGTTCCGTGATGTAGGTGACTGGAATGTGGTGTTTGATCTATATAGACAGATATAAATGTAGAATACTTAATTGTCATACATTCAACTTATTAGTTCCATTACTTTGGAATTGATTAATCTAAACGCCTTTTAATTCATTAGTTTAAGCAATATAAATGGATGGCAATTACAGATGCAAAACACGTTAACAGAGGCCCGGAAGCGGGGTAAACGAAGTAGAAAAGTAAAAGTGGCCCAGCCAAACTGCCGTACGTGCGGACTCCCTTAGCCGTATGTATGGGACTTCCACTGCACGTGCACTGGTAGGTGCTTTTATTTCAGAACCGCACCTTTTTCTCACCTGTTTTCCACACGTGCGGGCCTACTCGCCTCACGTGCGCCACTGCTCTCTTGCACGCGCGGGCTCCATTGCCGCACGTGCGGTTCTGGGTGTTCTAGAACTGAGTTTTTGTCTTGTTTTTGGAACTTCAAACCACCAAAAATCAAACCCAAATTCACTTAAATCAAGGACCAAAAATTAAGAAATATGGTATAAAAACAATTACCAAGAGTAGGACTTAAAATTCAAACATCAAATCCCTTAATCTCATAAACACCTTAAAGATTAAGGAGGGAAGGCACATGGTAATTCTGTTTTTCAACAAAACCACAAAAATATGACTTAAATTCATATAAAACCATAGGAATGAGCAAGGTGATGGAATAAATGCAAGGTTATGGGACAATCCCTCTTATTAGGGTCTCTAGCTCAACTTACACCACTCAATGCCTCACACACTCTTCAAATTCCATAAATTCAAGATGAAAATTGATCTTATGCAAGGAATTAAGAAGACTTTGTTTACCTTAATGGGTTAATTGATGAAGTTGTCTCAAATTCTCTCATTCTTCTTCTTGATCACTCATACAAGCTCAAACTCTAGAACACTCTCATACACACTCTCTCTCTTTCTCTCTCTTCTAATTGAGGTCACACACATATATATAATCACATCTTTAGTTAAATTTAGTTTAATTAAGTGAGAGCCTCCTTACCTACATTAACTAGTTAATTAGTTAATTAAATTATTACTTGACGTAATTAAGGTGTGACAACTTACCCACTTAGTCCACTAACCATTTTAACAACTCTACGATTTAACGAATTAGATAGGTCTTTTCATAAAGAAACATATCTGTTAACAAACATAATGTGCATAATTAAGCATATAAGGCATAGATAAATGCATAATTCAGATTATTCATAAAGTAAAAGCTAAGAAAGAGACGGGTGTTATCATCTCTCCCTTTTAGGATGTTTGGTCCTCCAAACTCAAGTACCTTCTTCAGTGAAGAGTGCAGAATATAATGGAAATAGTTCAAGGTATTTCTCTTACATGTCCACTTCTCTTTCCCAAGTTGCATACAAGCCATTACGGTTCTGCCAGTCCACATTTACCAATGAAATTTCTTTATTCCTCAACTTTTTAATTCGACAACTAACAATTCGGATAGGTCGTTCTGTGTATGCATAATCACCACTCATAGGTATCTGAGTAGGTTCAACAACTTGTTGAGGGTCTAAGAGAGACTTCCTTAGCATGGAAATATGAAAGATGTTATGCATGTGTTCTATATCCAAAAGTAGAGCTATTCGGTACGCCACTGGACTCAATTTCTCAATAATCTCATAGGGTCCAATGTAGCGAGGCGCTAACTTACCCTTGACTCCAAAACGAGTGTGTCCCTTTATCGGTGTAACTTTAATGAAGACATGGTTGCCTATTTCATATTCTCTTCCCCGTCTACGCACGTCAGTATAACTTTTCTGTCGGCTTTAGGCGGTTTTCATTCGTTGTTAAATCAACTTTACTTTCTCTGTAGTCTCTTGTACAAGTTCAGGTCCTAATAATGGTTTATCTCCAACTTCTGCCTAACAAAGTGGCGACCGACATTTCCTGCCATAAAGAGCCTCGTATGGTGCCATGCCAAGACTCGAGTGATAATTATTGTTGTAGGCAAATTCAACCAAAGGCAAATGTGTTTCCCAATTTCCTCAAAAATCCAATACACACATGCGTAGCATATCCTCGAGTGTTTGAATTGTTCTATCTGATTGGCCATCTATTTGTGGATGGTATGCATTGCTAAACCTCAGTTTTGCTCCCATTGCCTTTTGCAAACTTTGCCAAAATCTCAAAGTGAATTTCGGATCTCTGTCAGACACAATTGATACAGGTACTCCATGCAGCCTCACAATCTCATCCATATACATGGTAGCCAATTTATCCACATCATATGTCGTTTTGATGGGCAAGAAATGAGCAGATTTTGTCAATCAATCAACAACCACCCAAATAGAATCCATACCTTTACTGGAGCGAGGTAAGCCAACCATGAAATCCATTGTAATATGTTCCCATTTCCACTCTGGTATTGGTAATGGTTGAAACAACCCTGCAGGTCGTTGATGTTCCGCCTTAACTTGTTGGCATTGCAAGCACTTGGATACAAATTCAGTAATTTTCCTTTTCATTCCCGGCCACAAAAAATTCTTCTTCAAATCTTGATACATCTTTGTGTTCCCCGGATGGATGGAGAATTTAGACCCGTGAGCTTCTTGAAGAATCTGTTTCTTCAAATCACTGTCATCTGGTACACACAACCGTCCTTGAAACTTGAGTGTAGCGTTCTCAAGACTAAATCCTGGTCTAGGTTTAGATTCCCATTCCGTCTTGCAACTGTTTTTCTTTAATTTCTTCAATTATTGTCGGCTCCTACACCACTGTTTTCTGTCTAGTAAGTAAACAAGCTAAGTTCCTCATGGATTTCCAACTAAGAGCATTAGCTACTGTATTAGCTTTTCTAGGATGATACATAATTTGCAAATCATAATCCTTAATCAATTCTAGCCATCTACGCTGTCTCATGTTTAGCTCTTTCTAGGTAAAGAAATATTTTAAACTTTTGTGATCCGTATACACCTCACACGTAGCCCCATGCAAATAGTGGCGCAAAATCTTCAGTACAAAAATCACCGCAGCCAATTCTAGATTGTGAGTTGGGTAACTCTTTTCATGCGGTCTCAACTGACAGGACGCATAGGCAATCACCCTTCCGTTTTGCATCAACACGCATCCCAAGCCTTAATAAGAGGCATCACTATAGATAGTAAAGCCATCCATTCCAGAAGGTAAAGTGAGGATTGGTGCTACCACCAGTCTTGTCTTCAATTCTTAAAAAGCTGTCTCTCGTGGTTCTGTCCACTCGAATGACACTCCCTTTTGGGTCAATTGAGTGAGTGGTAAGTCAATCTTCGAGAAGTCCTTCCCAAATCTGTGATAGTACCTAGCTAGACCCACGAAACTATGAACTTCTGTCACATTCGTTGGTCTCGGCCAATTGACAACAGCTTCTACCTTTTGTGGATAAACAGAAATACCTTTTTTCATTATCACATGCCCTAAAAATGTTACACTATCCAGCCAAAATTCACATTTTGACAACTTAGCATACAATTTCTTCTCCCTCAACGTTTGAAGAGTAAGTCTCAAATGATGTTCATGTTCCTCCTTGCTTTTGGAATAAATTAGAATATCATCGATAAAGACCACAATGAACTCATCAAGGAATGGCTTAAAGATTCTGTTCATTAGATCCATAAAAGCAGCTGGTGCATTAGTAACTCCAAAAAGCATAACGAGGAATTCATAATGACCGTATCTTGTTTGAAAGGTAGTCTTCTTCACATCCTCAGTTTTGACTTTTAATTGATGATACTCAAATCGTAGGTCAATTTTAGAGAACACTTGTGCCCCTTATAACTGGTCAAACATATTATTAATACGTGGCAACGGGTACTTATTCTTAATTGTCACCTTATTCAACTCCCGATAGTCGATAAAAAGCCTTAAGGTTCCATCATTCTTCTTGAAAAATAGCACTGGAGCACCCTACGGAGATGTACTAGGCCTGTTAAATTTCTTATTCAGCAACTCTTGTAATTGAGTTTTCAATTCTTTTAACTTGGTAGTTGACATCCGGTATGGGGTCTTAGAAATTGGTTGGGTACCTGGAACTATCTCAATAGTGAACTCGATTTCTCTATTAATCAAATTCCCGGGCAAATCATCTGGAAATACATCTGAAAATTCTTTCACCATAGGAACATTACTTACATCTAGTTTAGTAGTGGTAGACACTATTAGTACCGAACATAAAAATCCCTTATAACCCTTATTAATTAATCTATTCGCTTTCATGAAGGAAATCAAATATGGGGGAGATATGACACTACTTTAACTAAATATAAATTCAGGCCTTTCAGGTAAACGAAACACAATTTGTTTGGTTGAGCAACCAAGTGTAGCACAATATTTAGATAACCAATCCATCCCCAAGATTACATCAAAATATGCAATGTCTAGAGGTAACAAATCCACATACAAATTCATGTCTCCGATATTGATCTCACACGCAGAATACATGGATGCACAGATCATAGCTTCTCCCACCGGAGAGGTTACAACTAATACATATTCCATTGCTTCCAAGGGTCTAAGTAATTTTGGAGCAAAAACATAGGACACGAAAGAATGTGTAGACCCCGAATCAATTAATACATGTGCATTCTGAGAACAGAAAGGAAGAATACTTGACACAACCGTCTCTGTAGTCTGCACATCACCCGACACCAATGCAAAAACCCGTCCTTGTTTTAGAGTTTCCTTCCTTGTAACTACTTTCAAAGTTACTCGCAGTGTTGACACAGATGCAGCTGAACTAGCCCTGGGCTGGCTTGCACTCTGGGATATTAAAAGACAATCCTTGATCATATGGCCTGTTTTTCCACACCGGAAACATGCACCCGAAATTCTACGACAAACTCTCTTATGTCTCTTTCCACACTCTGGGCAAATGGGGGTATCAGTCCCTTGGCTTGAGCTAGTAGATGACCCTGTATTCTGTCTTTTGTTCGGTGGAGTGCTGAAATTGTTCCGACCCTTCTTGAAATTAGACCCCGGCGTTTTACCATTCCATTCAATCACCGGTGCCTTCGCTTGCCTTAGCATGACAACATTCGCCTCAGCTATGATGGATCTATCTAAAACATCAACATATTTTTCTAGTTTGCGTACAATAACTCGATCAAGAACCTCAACATCCAAACCGCCTTCAAACTTTCTGGCTTTCTTATACTCTGTGTCTACCATATGTGGTGCGCAACGCGCAAGCTCTGTGAACTTAGCTTCATATTCTGCTACTGTCATAGTACCTTGCTTCTACTGCTCAAATTTTGTCACCTTGCGGTCTCTCACACACTGTGGAAAATATTTTTCATAAAAAACTTCTTTAAACTATGCCCAAGCCATAGTGGTTTGCTGATTCCAAACAAGCATCCACCATCTTCTTGCTTTTTCTTGCAAGGTAAAAGTTGCTAACAGAACCTTCTACTCTTCAGTACATGGAAATACTTCGAATAACTTTTCAATCTCCAAAATCCAGGCTTCAGCTTTGAGTGGTTCAAGGCCTCCCGAAAAGGTAGGCAGTTTCAGCTTGTTAGACTTCTGTGTCAGGGTGATAATGCCACTGTTGTTGGGTGGCTCCATTAGAACTGGTGGCGGAGGAGGACGTGGAAAAGGTTGTCTCAATTGTTGTCTTAGTGCTTCTATCAATAACTCCACCATTCGCTCTAGCCGATCCATTCTTGTATTAGAAGTTTCAAATGTCTCTGCAGGTCTTGTTTCTTCCATTGAGCTATATATAAATAGAGTGATAATAAACATAGGACACATAAAGTTTACACATGTATTATTATTACCTTATAGACACATCAGATAAACCACACACACTTACACATGCAGCGAACATGCCCTAATTTCTTTTCTTCAATTGTTGTCTTAGTGCTTATAACTCCACCATTCGCTCTAGCCGATCCATTCTTGTATTAGAAGTTTCAGATGTCTCTGCAGGTCTTGTTTCTTCCATTGAGCTATATATAAATAGAGTGATAATAAACATAGGACACATAAAGTTTACACATGTATTATTATTACCTTATAGACACATCAGATAAACCACACACACTTACACATGCAGCGAACATGCCCTAATTTCTTTTCTAGGACATCTTATAGCTCATTTGGATGCGGGTGTGCGGTACAACTCGTGCTCTGATACCACTTTATCACAACTTAAACCCGCTCCTATAGGTTTAGTGTCGTAACCGGCCAGTAATCTGTGATTACCGAAGGCCTAACTGAACAAAACAAATGAATGGGGCTAGCGGAAGCTAATATATAAAAGTAAAACGTCTAATGAGCTGTGAACTTAAATGAGACAAAAACGTAGCTATATATTTATATATATATATACACATGTACATCCAAGTATTATAAGTTTCTTATAATTACATCACAACCAAAAGGGATAAGTCATTCCCATCAACAATAACTACAACACCAATGACAACCGATCACAAGTGTGTAGGAGTGCCAAAAGAGGTAATCATGGGGTTAGCCTATGTTCCAACAGATGGGAACCTCGACGAGAGGCGCAAAAGGTGGTTTGACCAAAACGGAGGCAAGATTGTCAGCTACGTTCCCTCATGAACTGGATTACCTACATATACATATATACAAAACATGAGCTAAAGCCTAGTGAATAACAACTGAGTAAAAAGATTCTGAATGACGAACATGATGTAAGATAAAGTATATACTGAATAGGTTCGTATTACAAGTGAGAGACATGATATGACACGTAGTATATCCAAAAGTAATAAATACAGGCAGCCTAGATGGCCGAATAGATGGTCATGAAGACCGAACAGGCGGGCATGAAGACTGAACAGGCGGCTATGAAGACCGGAGATCAGATATGATAGTCAACACCCTATTAAACAGGAGTTCCATGAAATGGAACTGACAGAACTGTGATCATATAAATAGGTGACGTGACAGGGTCGTCACAGTAAACAATGAAAACTGAGATAGAATTATCATTCATCAACATAAGAAACATATCAGAGTAATGCATTAATTCGAAGAAGAGAAAAGATAATTTAAAATAAACATATTTTTACAGTAGTGTTACTCACAGTGGGTTCCGTGATGTAGGTGACTGGAACATGGTGTTTGACCTACACAGACAAATATAAACTTAGAATACTTAATTGTCATACATTCAACTTATTAGTTCCATTACTTTTGAATTGATTGATCTAAACGCCTTTTAATTCATTAATGTGTAAGAAATACAAATGGATGGCAATTACGGATGCAAAACACGTTAACAGAGGCCCGTAAGCGGGGTAAACGAAGCAAAAAAGTGAAAGTGGCCTAACCAAACTGCCGCACGTGCGGACTCCCTTGGCCGCACGTGTGGGACTTCCACCGCACGTGCATCGGTAGGTGCTTTTATTTCAGAATCGCACCTTCTTCTCCCCTGTTTTCCGTGTGTGCAGGACTACCTGCCGCACGTGCGCCAGTGCTCTCCTGCACGTGCGGGCTCCCTTGCCGCACGTGCGGTTCTGGGTGTTCTAGAACCGAGTTTTTGCCTTGTTTTTGGAACTTCAAACCACCAAAAATCAAACCCAAATTCACTTAAATCAAGGACCAAAAATTAAGAAATATGGTATAAAAACAATTACCAAGAGTAGGACTTAAAATTCAAACATCAAATCCCTTAATCTCATAAACACCTTAAAGATTAAGGAGGGAAGGCATATGATGATTCTATGTCTCAACAAAACCACAGAAATATGACTTAAATTCATATAAAACCATAGAAATGAGCAAGGTAATGGAATACAGGCAAGGTTATGTGACAATCCCTCTTATTAGGGTCTTTAGCTCAACTTACACCACTCAATCCCTCACCCACTCTTCAAATTCCTTGAATTCAAGATGAAAATTGATCTTATGCAAGGAATTAGAAAGAATTTGTTTACCTTAATGTGTTAATTGATGAAGTTGTCTCAAATTCTCTCATTCTTCTTCTTGATCACTTATACAAGCCTTGATCACTCATACAAGCTCAAACTCTAGAACACTCTCATACACACTCTCTCTCTTTCTCTCTCTTTTAATTGAGGTCACACACATATATATAATCATATCTCTAGTTAAATTTAGTTTGATTAAGTGAGAGCCTCCTCACCTACATTAACTAGTTAATTAAATTATTACTTGACCTAATTAAGGTGTGACAACTTATCCACTTAGTCCACTAACCAATTAATAACTCTACGATTTAACGAATCAGACAGGTCTTTTCATAAAGGAACATATCTGTTAACAAACATAATGCACATAATTAACCACATAAGGCATAGATAAATGCATAATTCAGATTAATCATAAAAGTAACAACTAAGAAAGAGGTGGGTGTTACAACAACGATAATGACAGTGTTTGTGGTTGTGATAGTAGTGATAAAGGTGATAGGTGGTGGTAATGTGATGGAATTAGTAAAATTTTAGTTTAAAAAATGTTTTTTACCTTTTAAAACTAAAAAAATGTTATTCATTTAAATAAATTTATCTTCTGTTAACAATAAAAAAAATATTTTTCTTTATACCAAATATAAATAAAAATATTTAAAAAAATATTTTATGTCAAACAAATATAACGTTAGGATATCTTTATGGGGGAGTTTAGGACCATTTAAATTTGAATTTTATAATTTCAAGAATTAAATTTGTGAATATTAAAATTAAAAAAAGGGTAAATTATAATTACACCCCTTGAGGTTTGTTTAAAGTACAGATTACTCCTGTAGTTTGAAAAATTACAAATACCCCCTTATTAGAATTTTTTATTTAACAGAATTAACTAAAAAAATGAAATTCATAATTGTTCTCCTATACAATAATAAAATTACCTAAATTATTAAGTGAAACATATTTCTAATATCATTAAAAACTGTAAATTGACATAATAATTGTGTGAGTGATTTTCCGATCACACTGCCCAACTTAGTATTCAGCTGGAGAGAATTGGCAGAATAGATGACACCTAGTTGACCTACAATAGAAAGAGAAGATTCCGGCGGTGGTTCGTCCACCCGGGGGCACTCCGACGATCAAGTCAGTATATCTCTCAAAGATAATCAATAGTACTAAATTCATTGTTCAGAACATAAATTGCATACCTTAGACCCACAGGGGTGCCTTTCTTTTATAGCTAACTCAATCCTTGTCCCAACAGGAGCCTAGCTCTAATGAACTTAGGATTACTATTAATCTTGAACTCCCAGTAGGATTGGGATAAACTCTCTAAGAGTCTTATCCTTTCTCAACTGTAGTCTTCCCATTTTCTAGGACTCTTGTGCCTTATCCGCTTATCTTGGATTCCGATATCTTCGGAGGTAACCTCGGCCTTGCTGAGATAACCTCGGTGTCATGATCAGGACACGTGGCATCTCGGCTGATATGTCGGCGTCACCTTAGCCGCGTGTTGATACTCAGAAAATATATCCCCACAACTGCCCCCTAGGTTCTATTACCTCGGCATTTATTACCTCGACATTCTGAGGTGATAGAACCTATATCATTCCTTCCTACCAGTACATCGGCCTAGCCGAGATCATCATCATAGGCCGATATGTCTTTTTCAGAGATCAAGAATTCCAAGAGCTTCTTCACGCGTATGAGCTGTTATGCATAACAACTCAACCGTTTAGCCTCGTGTTTTCTCCTTACTGGATCGTACTCTGGACACGCTTATAAGTCGTTTCGCGCTTACATGCGCCGTCTGATGCATTCGCTGTTCCAGGCGCATTAATTGCCCTCTTTTGCCGCCGTTTCAAGTCTTTGACAAAACTTGTTTCCCTCTTTCGTTTTTTTTCACTTTACATTGCCTTTATTCAAAACTCTTTCTCTCTCTGGCTTCCTCTAATCCTCAATTTTTCCAAGCTCTGAAGCTCTGCCATCACTACCGTTCACCTCTTCTGGAGTGGTTCTTGCCAATCTGTTCTACCGCCGTCGTTCTTCTGACTTCGGCGATCTCAAGCATCGTCTTCTTTTCTCTGGTAAGTCACCATTCCTCCTGGTTTTCGATTCTTGTTGTGTTTCATGAAATTATGTTCTATCATTTAGTCACCATTTGTTGTTTTACTCAAATATTCGATTTGCGAATCATGTATCTGGACATGTTTATTTCATAATTTTGCTCTTTGTCCATGTCATGAACACTTGTACTGTTCACATGCATGTTGCTTTCTGCCACTGTTCTTGGCCTAATACACTTGTGCAATCTTTTTGTCTTGA